TGATACAACTTCTACATCTGACTTCATTGTGAATATCACTGACACTCACAACATCCTCATTCACTGTAGTTTGGTAAGTGAGGCATACCTCAATGGTAGAACTGGTGATGTCATTTACTCATTTTCACCGGATAAACCTCCTGGATTCCAACTCAACATCCAACCGAATGAGAAGACGTTTTTACCATTGACGAAAACTGACAGAATATCAGATGTAATAATGAGGATAACTGATCAAGATGGAAAGGAACTGAACCTCAACAGTGAAAGAACCACGTTCAGTCTTCATCTCCGGGAAAGAAAATAAGACTAGATAGATGACATCATGTTCTTGAAACGAAACCAGCTTACCAGACAGAAGGTTATCGGTGGAAGTCTTCTTGGGAATCTATACAACAAAGCCAAAGGTGTACTATACAACACCAGCAAAATCTTAGCACCAAAGGTTAAATCCATAGGAAAAATGACAGCTCAGAAAGCTTTGGAGGCAGCAAAAGAGCAGATCACTCCAGACATGGTCTTTGATTTGGCAAAAGATCTTGCTAAGGGTGACAGAAAAGCAGTAAAAATGAAAGTAAAGAAAGAGGCTAAGCAGCTTGCTACAACTATTGGTAAAGACAAAGCTATCAATCCACATGTTAGAGATACCATCAATCAATTATCAAACAACAAGGACATCAAACGAGTTTTGTTGGATAAGAGTAAAGAGCTTCTCCAAGATAATCAGAGAGCTATCCTATCAAACATCATTGCTGGTTCAGGAATGAAGAGGTTGTAGAAAAAAAGAAAAAGAAAAAATATATAAAGAGTCGGCGTGGAGAAAGCAATTTTATTAGTGCAATAAGGAGTATAATCGAGGCAGACATGGCCAGACAACAACGAGTTCATGGAATTTTTTTTAGCTCAGTAGACAAACACGCTGTGCCGACAGCGCCGCCTGTTCCCGTGCCACCACCGGCCCCACCACCTGGGGTGCCGTGGGTGGCTGGGGCGGGGGTGGGTTTGCCATCATGGACCTGGCCACCACTTCTCGACCCACTGCAAACGGCAGCGGAGCCTACTCTAGCACAACATCATCGTCCTGGAATGGAGGAGGGGCCACCGAGAGACACTGAACCTTCACCTCGGCAGTTGCCCTTGCCTCCGCCTGAGCCACCCCCTTTACCTTTGGTGACTACCGAGACGGTGGTCCCCCCGGTGCTGGGATCCACGGTGCCGACTGTGTCTGGACAGAGAGGGAGATCATCGACAAACCAAAATGAAACCAATATCCTCACCCATAGACCCAGAAGAAGCACAGCAAACTATTCACTTGAAATTTATGCACGGAATGGACTTGGCTCACGCAAAATGGACAGTGGAAATGGGTGTGCAGTAGCAGAGAACCCAGCAACGGTGACGCGGAGCAGCGGTCAAACGACTTGTGATGCTGGTGGAGATGATGGAGCCATGTTGGAGGCTGATAAGGAGTGCAGTGAGACTGAGCATCAAACGGATGATGAGGACGTGACTGATGATGATGATGGTGGTGATGAGGACGATGATGATGAAGATGAGAAGGAGGACGAGGATAAGGCGGAGGAGGTCGAAGGAAAGGAGCGGGATGAGATGGAAGAGAGCGACGTGAGCAAAAAGTCAGCTGTATTTTGTCACTTGTTATCACGTCCAGATTGTCTTGGTGTGTACGATGATTCTCACTTTTCTGTTTTGTGCCGTGCAAGTTATGTTAAGCAGTTGAAGGTTCTGGAAGCTGTATGTATTCGTGTGCATAATCCTGTTCTTTGATAACAAAAGAAGCATGTAGTCGCGCTAAAGTTGTTCTCGTAGCTGGTTATCAGATGTAAATGTTGTGTCATGTTGCACTGTATCACCTCTTGCTTTGTGGCTGCACTCAGGTATATACGTTAGCACTATGTTTTACACCTATTATGCAATGCTGTAGCACTTCCTTTGTTGTTCACACTTTTAATTAATTATGCTGTTATAAAATGTTCTATTGTTGTACACAGTACCCTCAGTTCCGATACTATTCACTGATGAGCGGAACACGAAAATCGATTTTGAATAACATAAAAATCCTTAAAAAAATTCCATGAACTCGTTGTTGTCTGGCCATGTCTGCATCGATTATACTCCTTATTGCACTAAAAAAATATATAGGTAGAAACTATGGCCTCTTGCACAAGTCCACATTTCGATCTTTTCACAGACCCACCAAAGGATGAATCAACAACTGAGTATGAGTATATAGAATATCTACCCAGGAACAGCAATGACATGAATAAAGATCAGCATATCATAGAAACCAAGGATCTTGATGAGTACCTCCTTCCTCACAAAGCACTGCTTGAGGTTCGTGGACGTCTCGTCAAAGCAGCAGATGGTTCCAATTATGGTCCTGATGATGTCATCACTCTTTCCAACAACGGATGGTCACTCTTCAAGACTGTTGAGTATCAACTTGACACCAATATGGTAGAGAGAGTTGATAGTCATGTACCACAAGCTTCTACCATTTTCAATTTGGTCCAGTTTAGTGATGATTATGGGAGAAGTTCTGCTACCAACATGCTCTGGTACAAGGACACAGGAACTGGACAAGCATCTCCTAATGAGTTTAGGGATTCAGGTGCATTGTTACCAGTAAATCCTATCACAGACGTAACAGCACTTACTGGAAAAAAATTTCAGAGATAATTTTCAGACAGGAGCTCTAAAGAATCCTGCTTACAATACCGGATTCAGAGCCCGACAACTCATCACGACTGGAAATAAGGATACAACCATGTTGCTTCCTTTATCATCACTGTTGGGTTTTTGTAAAGATATTGATACGGTATTCATGGGAGTCAAGCATACACTCAATCTTACCAGAGAATCATCAGCCAACTACATTCACAGAGCAAATGGTGTTGATCCAGGAAGGTTTGACATCAAACATCTTTCTTTGTGGATACCAAAGGTGAGACCATCACTCCAACTAGCTAGTAAGATTGAAAGTAAGTTGGTTAAGTCCACCCTCCGAGATCTGTACTTCGAGCAAGTCCGGGTTTATAGAAATCAGTATGGATCAACGGAGACAAATCCATCCTGGAGAGTGACTACTCACAGCAATGAGGAACTCCCAACTCATATCTTCTTTGCCATCCAAGCAGCCAATCGAAGTGGGAATGAAGAACAGAACAACCAGGTTTTCGATAATGCTGACCTCAGAAGCTTGTCTGTGTACATCAACAGCGATAGATTCCCAGAACGTGATTTGGAAATGAATTTCAGTCCAGCTACTCGGAATTATACAAGAGCATACATGCTTTTCCAAGAAGCCATCCAAAAATATGCTGACACAGACAGTGGAAGTCAGGTAAGTGTGGAGGATTTTGCCTCTTTATACACCATCATTCATGTAGATGTGAGTAAGCATAAGGAGAAGCTGAGGAACAGCTCTGCTGATATCGAACCTCGATGGAGACTTGGAAAACCGTTTGAGTTTCCCACTGGTACAGCTGCTTCTTACCAAACCATCTGTTTGATTCTCTCCGAACGTCATCTCAAACTCAATGGTATGAATGGCAAAATGAGTGTTGTGGTGTAAGAAAAAAGATAAAAGTAGATAGGAACCATGAATGAGTTGGAAAAGGACATTGAGATTTTATTAACAAAGGAACTAACACAGAAGAAAGGTGGTAGTATCGGTTCTGTGATCGGAAGATTGGTTGGGAAGATATCTCCACTTGTGATCAAGCATGCTCCCAACATCCTTGGTACACTTGGACTGGCTGGTATTTCTGGTGCTATTTCTGGAAGCACACACAGAGCCACAGCTGGTCGGGGAATCGGTCAGTATGTGGAATATGGATTGATGCTAACTCCAAACCAAAAGAAGAAACTTGGTAGTGCTCAGGATGGAATCACACTCCGGTTAACAAAAGATCAGTTAGCACCATATCCCTCACACACTCATACTCAGCCCAAGGCAACAAGGAATTGTTTTGGAGATAGTGTGCTGCTTCGAGTAACTGGTCTTGTAATGCAAAAGCTCGAAGAGCTGGAAAGCAATGCCAGGCCACTGGCAGCAACTGGCTCGCGAGGAGCCGCAATAAACCCACATTGTGCCACAATGGGGTTGCAAGGCAAAGCCAATGCAATTGGCAACAACTGGCTCGTGAAGAGCCGCAACTAGCGAAGCAAGTGACCAGTTAGGAGCGATAGAGCTAAATGTTCCATAGTACCATTAGCAAGATGATAAAATGGGAGGGATGGAGGGTGAAAATTTGGTGCTGGCACAAGCTAAAAGTCACCACTAATTAGACTAGTCTTTGAAGTGAAGCCAACAGCAAGAAAGAAAGAGAAAGTTCAAAGGAAGCAGTTGTACGACGTCAGGCTAAGCGCGCCCGAATCCATGCGCTGGCAGTGTACTAGTGTGAGTGCAGTGAGCAAAAGTTCAAAGGAAGCAGTTGTGTGACGTCAGGCCAAGCGTGCCCGAATCTATGCGCTGGCAGTGTGAGTGCAGTGCACAATGCACCGATGCAGCGGTGCGCGGCAGATGCAAACATGGCAGTGTGATCGGTGGATGCTAACACACACTAACTACATTACTGCGACATTAGCACCATATCCCTCACACACTCATACTCAGCCCAAGGCAACAAGGAATTGTTTTGGAGATAGTGTGCTGCTTCGAGTAACTGGTCTTGTAATGCAAAAGCTCGAAGAGCTGGAAAGCAATGCCAGGCCACTGGCAGCAACTGGCTCGCGAGGAGCCGCAATAAACCCACATTGTGCCACAATGGGGTTGCAAGGCAAAGCCAATGCAATTGGCAACAACTGGCTCGTGAAGAGCCGCAACTAGCGAAGCAAGTGACCAGTTAGGAGCGATAGAGCTCCACAAAGCAGCAACACTATCCCCGAACAACCCCCCGCCCAGCATTAAGAAATTATCGAGCAGTGACATTCCTATGCTAGGACTTCAGGGATGGAACATAAACTGTCCGTGCAAAGAATCAGATAAGGTCACTCACTGAGGCAAGCTGAGCCGAGATCTTGGACTTGGTCTCCATTGGAATTCGCATATAGCGTAGACACACATCGCTCTGCCACCTGCCGGCAGAACGAATCAGCGAATCAGGTATCCCTGCCATGGCAGCGGTAGTAGCTGCGCCAATTCGGAATGAGTGCCCCGAGTAGAGTTCGATGTTTGGCACCGCAGCCTTTTCAAGCAGCAAGCGCACAGTACTGGTGAAAACAGCTCTGGATAACGGCACACCCTTGGCAAGTACATACAGAGGAGTGGATGCGTTTCGACTGCCAATCATCGCCAGGTAGCGTAGCATAGCATACACAGGGCAGTAAGGGCGACCGGCCGGTCCAATGACAATATGGACTCCCTTTCCAAATTGGTCTGTCTTTGATCTCTTTAGCAGGATGGTCATGCTGCCCGACTCAAATCTGATACACTCTCTTGTAAGGCCCTCTGTAAATTCGGAGCACCTTAGGAAACCAAAGAATGCCAACAGTACAGCAGACTTGAAGAGAACTCGGTCATGCTCGGGCAACACGGGGAGGTGATCACAGGCATCGACTAATTTCCTTAGAGTTGGCATAGTTATGGGCAATCTAGGCTTTACTGTCTCGGTCCCATGGCACCGCTGAACACCCTTCAACACTCTCTTGAGAAGCCAGGTCTCGATCAGGGGATCCTCTAGACCCTGTTCAATGTGTGCATTCCGTACAGCTTGCAAATAAACAGATATCGTGCAAGGGCGGACAGAGCGAGCAAGAAAAGTGCAAAAGCAGCTGAGGGTAAGATCAGAAGCTGGGTAAGGTTGCAGATTGCAAAGGGAGCAGAAACTGACAAAACGACGCCCACCGGCAGAGTAGGTGCGTCTGGTATTAGCAGCAATTGCACAGGCAGCGTACTTAGTAACTTCACTCACAAGACTGCTGGAAGACGAGCACGATCTGGACTCGGCCGCGCTAACGGAGCATGACGTCGAAATTCCTGCATAAGAAAACGAGAAAGGCAATCTGCAATGACATTCTTGGAGCCGGCAATGTGCACAGCGCTAACATGAAAGTTGAACTCATAGCAAACGAAGAACAGTTCGCGTAGCAACTTCATCACAGCTGGGGCTTTGCACGTGCCCGAACGGATGCAGTCCACTACCGCCGAGTTGTCGCAGTGTACCCGAATCCGGAGCTTAGCCCATTCGTCGCCCCATGTGGCGCAGGCTGCCACGAGGGCAAACAGCTCCTTCCACTCAATAGACTGCAGCATCTGGGCACTGTTCCATGAACCTTGAATCCATTTCCCGTTGTTGTAAGCACCCCAGCCGTGAGTGCCACTTGCATCTGTGTATAGCTGGAGATCTGGTGATGGGGTCCAGTTAGGGTGCAAGAAGAAGGACTTCCCGTTCCACTCACTTAGTAGCCTCATCCACCATAGCAGGTCATCCACGCATTCTTGGGTCAAAGTTATTGAGTAGTGTGGTTGCTGAAACCGTGAGCAGAGGGACCACAGACGACGCATGAAGGTACGGCCTGGAGTGATGACACGGGCAGCAAACGAGAGCTTACCCAATAGGGACTCGAGTTGGCGTTGGGATATCTTCCGGCTGTTGATCGTGCTGGCCAATAGCGATCGGAGGTCGTTGAGCTTGTCCATGGGGAGCCTGGCCTCGAGCCGCTCGCAGTCCAGAATAATGCCGAGGAACGTCAGTGATCTCGCGGGACCTTCCACCTTTGCTGGCGCTAGCGGCACGCCCAAATAGATGAAGGCTCGCAGCAGGATTGCTAGTTGACGCTGGGCGACAGTATGGCCAGTTGTGACGTTTAGGAAGTCGTCCAAGTAGTGGAATAGGTCGGCAATGGAGAAATGGTTCCGGATAATCCACTCTATGGCCGAGGCAACGGAGTCGAAAATGGCTGGGCTGGAGCGCAGCCCAAACGGTAGCACCCGCTCGTAATAGTAGTTGCCTTGCCAGAATATGCCGAGTAGTGAGTGGTCTTCAGCACGAACTGGGATTTGCCGGAATGCACTTTTGATGTCCAGCTTTGCGAGGTACACCGGCTGAGGTGAGGACATAATAGACTCGATTGCATCGTCAATACTGATGTAGTGCAGGGAAAACTGGTCAGCTGGAACTCCGTCGTTCACACTATTACCGGCGGGGCTAGAAAGATGGTGAATCATACGAAGCTTGCCGTTCTTCTTCGGTACCGCGCCGACACCAGAGCAGCGCATGGAGGTGAACGGGGCTGCACTAAAAGGACCAGCAGTTTCGCCACGCTGGCAAGAAGCATTAAGCTGGTCAGAAATAAAGGAGGCACAAGCAGCAGAAGATGGCAGATTAGCAGACTGGACAGAAACGTTGGTTGGTTGGTTGGTATATTTTATTTTACTTCGCCAGAATGAACAGGCATTGCTGCCTTCTTGCCTGGACAAGTGAATTGTCCAAGCTCTCACAAAAAGACGAAGAAAGGAAAGAAAAATTACATGAGAGTGTGAAGCATGCAATCTTATAAAATAAATAAAAATAAAATAAAAATTTCCATGAGAGTGTGACGCATGCATGATGAGAGAGGAGAGATAGATAGATAGAGAGAGAAAGAGAGAGAGAGAGAGAGAGAGAGAGAGAGAGAGAGAGAGAGAGAGAGAGAGAGAGAGAGAGAGAGAGAGAGAGAGAGAGAGAGAGAGAGAGAGACTGCTTTATTGCCTGGACAAGTGAACTGTCCAAGCTCTTACAAAATGACCAACAACAACAACAGCAACGGCAACAACAACAGCGACAGCGACAACAACAACAACAACAACAACAGACCAACAACAACAGCAACGGCAACACCACAGCAGCAGCAACAACAACAAGAGAGAGAGAGAGAGAGAGAGAGAGAGAGAGAGAGAGAGAGAGAGAGAGAGAGAGAGAGAGAGAGAGAGAGAGAGAGAGAGAGAGAGAGAGAGAGAGAGAGAGAGAGAGAGAGAGAGAGAGAGAGAGAGAGAGAGAGAGAGAGAGAGAGAGAGAGAGAGGGAGAGAGGAGAGAGACGGCTTTACTACCTGGACAGGGAATTGTACAAGCTGTCACAAAATGACCAACAACAACAACAACAACATTAACAACAACAGAGAGATAGATAGATAGATAGAGAGAGAGAGAGAGAGAGAGAGAGAGAGAGAGAGAGAGAGAGAGAGAGAGGGAGAGAGGAGAGAGACGGCTTTACTACCTGGACAGGGAATTGTACAAGCTGTCACAAAATGACCAACAACAACAACAACAACATTAACAACAACAGAGAGATAGATAGATAGATAGATAGAGAGAGAGAGAGAGAGAGAGAGAGAGAGAGAGAGAGAGAGAGAGAGAGAGAGAGAGAGAGAGAGAGATAGATAGATAGATAGAGAGAGAGAGAGAGAGAGAGAGAGAGAGAGAGAGAGAGAGAGAGAGAGAGAAGAGTGTGTGTGTGTCAGAGACAGAGAGAGAGAGAGAGAGAGAGAGAGAGAGAGAGAGGGAGGGGGGGGGGGAGGAGGAGAGATATGCGGATTGTTAAAATGGATTTCGACATGAAGTTAGGTACACAGAATGTTAATATGGGTAAAGGCTGGGCAAGTCGAGAGCCGTGGCTAGAGCTTTAAATGTCTGCCAATCACCTTCCGTACGGACTGCAACTGGGAGAGCATTCCACAGAATGCTGCTAACAAACTGAATTGAACGACGTCCAGCAGGACCAGGGAGGAACGGAACTCTCAGCAGGCTTGACACTTGACCCCGTGTCGTCCTCAGCTGAGGTGTGGCAGGGTCGTTGATCGGCACGAATAGATTCTTTAACAGGGGACTTGTCTTGTCATTTAAACATTTGAAAACGAAGATGGCAAGCTTCTGGAAGAGAAGCTGTGGCAAGCTTGGCACACCCAGTAGCTCCAGAAGGGGGGCAGTCGGGACCAGAGTCCTTTGCTGCAGGGTCGCTCTGACACCGGATTTTGACAGGCGGTGGAGTTTATCCAGGAGCTGCTTGGAAAGACTGGAGAAGAAACAGTTGGATCCATAGGATAGATGAGCCTGTATCATGCTGACATACCAGACTTGGCGTGCTCTTAGGCTCAGGGACCTGCCGTGTCGCCATAGCTGTCCAATTACTGGCCCGATCTTGCGTGTTACATGGCTGATATGTGGCTGCCAGGAGAGGTCATTGTCGATTACAACACCCAGGTATTTCGCAGATGTTGTTGATTCCAGGGATTGTCCTCGACAACGTACATGTTCTTGAACATCAGCACCGCCTCTTGGCTTTACAAACAGAACTTGGGTTTTCTGGGCATTCAGAAGTAGGCCGATGTCATCTAGCCACTTGGCGAGGTTGGTCACTGCAGACGACAGAGACTCGCAGACTTGCCTGGGACACGCGTTGGAGCAATCGAGAGCGATGTCATCAGCGAATTCCTGATCTGCCACATCCGGAGGCATCGTTGACTTGACGTCAGCAGTGTAAATTACAAACAGGAGTGGGCCTAAGACACTGCCCTGCGGAACACCGCGAGAGCAAGGAACAGTCCCTGACAACTGATCCTGCAATTTGATTTGCTGTGTCCGGCCAGACAGGTAACTGCAGAACCAGTTGAGTGCAGTTCCCGAGATGCCTAGCTTAAACAGTTCGGTAACGAGTCGCTCATGCCTGACGCGGTCAAAGGCCTTTGACATGTCGACAAACACGATGCCGGTATACTTGCGCTCTGCCCGTGCCATTTGCCATCGATCAACAGCATACGTTAAGGCATCTTCTGTGGAGTGAAGCTTTCGGTAGGCGAACTGAGTAGGCGGAAGAAGTTGCTTGGAGTCCAAGTACTGCGTGATCTGATTTTTTACAAATGCTTCTGTGATGCGGGAGATAACTGGGAGCAGTGACACAGGGCGGTAGTTCTTTGGCAAAGTTGGGTCTCCACTCTTGAAGAGCGGACTGACGTGGGACAACTTGAAGGACAGGGGGAACTCACCGGAGGACAGGGATATATTAATGATGCGTGTAAGTGTGGGGGCAATGGCTGGATAACACTTTTGCAGGATGATGCTTGGAACTTGGTCACTGCCTGTTGCCTTGAAAGGGTTGACAGATTTCAAACTGCTTGCCACATCCTCGACTGTCACTACACTGAAGTCGGTAAATGCCCCTTCCGCCATTGGACCAGAGGGAGAACAGAGCTGAGGAGGACGCTGGGGATAATGGACAACGTCACCAAACAGCTTGCTAAGATCCGATATGGGTACTTGAGCAGTGTGCGATTGTTTCTTCCGGCCAACCACAGTATTGATGACTGACCAAAGTTTACGTTGGTCAGAAGTCTGGCACTGCTGGATGAAATACGTGTTCTTCAGGCTCCTGTCCAGCTTCCTGGCCTTGGCACGAGCAGTGCGGTGTTGACTGCGGAGATCATCATTGCAG